GTTAGGGAGGCTTTTCACCATTTGCTCTAAAGCTGACTGCAGATTGCCCACACTGTTTGGCCTTGTTTTAACATTCCTGTCTCAGTTTCCCTATTCTACTTGCCCTGGAATTTTCCTAGCTCCTTACTGGCCTGTAACAAGACCAGTGGTGTTGAAATAGAAATTTTTATGGGTGAAATAGACAGGTTTAGGGGATTTTTTTAAATTAAGGGGTACATGGAAAAAAACACCTGACCACAGAATTACAAAAGAGTACATTTCCATAAGACAAGGGAAAGGCAGAAGTTACATTTCCATAAGATAAGGGAACTGGGAGGAGCCGAAGGTCTATATTTACAAAATAAAGAAGGAGAGTCTCATAGGTCTCCTGTAAGGTTTGACCTTTGAGCTCAGGAGTTGCTGTCGTGACCAAATCAAAGGAGAATGGTGGCAAATCCCAGGGGATATCGAGGCACAAAAACTGCAGCCTTTATAAACCTGGGAAAAAGGAACTCGGTGGGAGTCTTTCCCCCTCCCACATGGAGGTCTGTACTTATTCTTCAATAAATTTCCACCTCTGCTATTCCATCTTCTGTCCATGGACAACGAACCTGGGGAAGCCATCCTGCCCAGGGGAACCCCGCATGTTCCTGTCCGAAAGTCCCGTATCAGGGTCCATGTTTAAGAAATCCGCAGGCTTGTGAAAAGAAGCCAGAAACGTGGAATGATCCACCAGGGCGCATCATCAGGGCTCACGTCTCCTTTGCTTTCAGAGTAAAGCCAGAGCCTCCCCGCTTGCAAAGCATCTCTCTCCTTCACCGGCCAGTTCAGTGTCACCTCCTCCCAGCTTTCTGTCAACACCTTCCCTGCCAGACAGTTCACTCCGTGCTGTGTGTTCCCATTAGCATCTATTGCCAACCTCTAGCAGAGGATTCCAAAAATTGCCTTGTAGTTAGGACACAGCTCTCATTTCTCCTCAGGCTGTGAGCTCCCTGAGGACAGGGATATGACCTTCCTTTCTGCAGCCGCTGCATTTAAAGCAGAGGCAGCACTCAGGCATGTTGATGGAAGTCCTTCAATGGGCTAGAACCAGGGTTCTAATGACGAGGTCCTACGGAAGAACAAAGAAGATGAGGACTTACAGGAACTTGAATACCACAATTTGTGGCCCACCATGTGGATTTGTGCAGTTTGAAATCTGAGGCTACTTCATAGCGCATAACTCTGCACCTTGGACTTAGAAACCGCCTGCAGAACCAGCGCCTCTCTTTGCTGTCGGAATTCAGTTGGTAAGTCCCCCAGAGCTTTCATTCTAGAACCCTGAACCAGAACTGGGACTTGACAGATGACTGATATGTTACCCGTTGTTCTCATCTCACAGCCCCCCCTTGCTGACCACTGAGCAAGCTGTTCACCAATTAGAAAACACATAATGTGAGTTTGTGGTTTTGTTTCCCTTAGCAACCCATCTCTTTGCTACAAGTTATACCTTAAAAAAACAAACGCACAAAAAAACTGTTCTCCCACTCCCACCTCGGCACATGTCTTCAGGTCATGCTGTGGGCTAGCCCCTGCATTGCAAATCATAAATGGGTAAAACGCTCTTAGTTTCTTTTGGAATTTTTGCTGACAAAGGAAATGACGCTAAGTAGCTGTTGCCCTCACTCTCCAGTCTCTGCCAAGACATGGGAGCAGCTTCACCCCCTTGATGCAGTGTTAATGACTCCCCGGGACCACACCTGCACATGGGGCCCCCAGTCTCCCCAGGTGGAGGGTCTCCTGGGAGAGAGGGGTCAGGGAATCCACTGAACATGCACGACCAACGGCAAAACCCCAGTTAGGGATAAAGTAGGTGACGAGTTTCATTATTTAGTCTTTGACCCTTGAATGACCTAGGAGCTCAGTGGCACATTTCAACAAAAAGGTGAACCTTTCGCCCTAGCCGGTTTGGCTCAGTGGATAGAGCGTCGGCCTTCGGACTCAAGGGTCCCAGGTTCGATTCGGGTCAAGGGCATGTACCTTGGTTGCGGGCACATCCCCAGTGGGAGGTATGCAGGAGGCAGCTGATAGATGTTTCTCTCTCATCGATGTTTCTAACTCTCTATCCCTCTCCCTTCCTCTCTGTAAAAAATCAATAAAATATATATTTTTTTTAAAAAAAGGTGAACCTTTCATTCACTGCATCTTGACATCCCTTGAAACAGACATTTGTGTAATAAGCGTAAACGACATATTTCACAGCGACAATGAGGTTTTGAACTCTCAAAGGGACAGGAGACATGGCTAGGTGACTGCAGCAGGGAGCGGCCTGTCTTCTCGTCAAGCATTTGCCCATGTAAACACATTTTGAAGGTTTCCATCTTCCAAACAAATGTATTTATCAGTCAGTAAATGATTTACGTTTCCATGTGTTTTGGTTAATCAGTGCTAATCAGACCTTCTGATCTGCTCAAATGCCACTTGGGTCATTTATCATTGCACTTGAAGGCAATGAAATATTTTCCCTCAGTAAGTACAACCTTATAAAATTACAGCCTCTGTAGGAAATGCCTTCCTTAGTGCCCTGGAGGACACATAAGCATCCTAGAATACCACATGGGGCGCCATTGGAACAGGATTTGGAATAAATAAAAAAGAGATTTATTTGAAAATGATGATGGAGAAGAGATTCTACTGCAAATATACTTGTTAAATGACTAAAAGAATGAAAATCTGTGAAATATTTTAAAATATGGTCACTATGGAGAGACCACATGCAATAGATTGCACTTCATATTTTATCAGATAATGCAGCGATTGCCAACCTTTCGGACCTTATGGACCACCAGTGGTACACAGACCACCGGTTGGCAACCGCTGACTGGTAATGCATCACAAACGTACAGTCTTTGCACTTAAAGCTACTGCTCAATGAGCAATGGCACCACACTGCACTGAGGCTTCACCTCGGTATTTAAAGGCTTTGATCCAGGATCCAGATACCTGAGAAAGGACAGATTCCCCAGGTGCACGTAGCTCATTTTGGGGGGGCCTTGGGCCTCATTGGGGAACTCTGCCAACGAGCCCTGACCCCATCCTGTTGAGGTCACCGAGAGGCACTTTGTCCCTGTAGCAACAGGTGTTCCTCACCGTGAAGCCATCACGGTCGGCGGCCACATGCTGAGCAGTGGCAGGTAACAGGGTACTTACCCTGGTCGCTGCTCCTGATCTCCTGGATCTCCCAGGAGACAAGGGCGGGAGGCCAGCCCTGCACAGCCTCTTTGTTGCTGCCGGAGGAAGTCATCACGATGCTGCTCTCCTCTCAGGGGGTCCGTCAGCTGCCGAGGTGGAGCTGACGTCTGAGCGAGGCTCTGGAGGGCACACTCTGTATCTCCACGTGGGTCCTGGGTGACTGCCACCGCCAGCCTCAGCAGATCCCAGAATTCCTCTCAAGTGGGCAGTCAGAGAAGTGAAACATTTGCCTCACCACTGACATCAACAGTCTCGCTCTGCAAATGCAAAAGAACAACATTCAAATCAAACTGAGCCCACTTCGTCCTTTATATGGTAAATAGCCCAGTTTATGGTAGAACAAGCAGATGACATGGGGGAAATAGCATCCTCCCTTTACTGGCCCGGGGAAGAGAAAGAGGAGTGGAGGAGGAGGCCACAGGGCTCAGGGGAGGCAGGAGAGCAGCAGGACCCGGAGTGCGAGAGCACAGGTTGGCAGCCAGGCCCCGGACCACCATACCAGCTCCTTCCTCTACCGCGGCTCTGTTTCTGCACCAATTGCATGTGAATGATAGTGGTAGATCCTCCCCTGAGAATTGCTGTGAAAATTAAGTCATGCAAAGCACATATGAAGCCTCCTCGAAGTGCAGACTTCTTAGGTCACTCAGGGGAGGCTAAGGGACCGGCATTTCCGTCTGGGGTCCCACTGAGGACCCCGGAGGAAGACTCTGAGGCTGACGGGCAGATTTCACGAGGCGAAGCTATGTGGTCAGGTGAAGGGAGAGGCTGCTGTATAGCTTTCCCTGATGACCTTGAAACTCAAGTGATACACACGGGACCCAGAAGTTGCTGAGAACCTAACAGGGAATCTGGCCCCAGTGGTTCCCTGTGGCAGGCCTCTGTGCCGAGTGTATGGAGTTCGCAGCCATCCTCAGAGGTCTCCAGCTCACCAGCAAAAGCTGAGGCGGGCCCAAGAGAGACCAGATTTCGAATTGTAACAGCTTCAGGCTTCATCTGGGAGCACCTATAGGAGCGTGTGGGTACCCCAGCATTGGGGGCGGGGGGCGGGGGGACATCACCAAGGCCTCCTTGCCTGCAGCCCCTTCCACCTCAGGGTAAAGCAAGGCCTGGGGAAGCATCTGAGACTCAAAGCGGTT